AAAAAAAGAACACAAATGAAGGGAAAGCTTTGAACTGGTACACACTGTTCACACCTATATTTCAAGTTTGGAAACGCATATTTTCAAGCAGCAATACAAAAAAGTATCCATGAAGAATGCATAATCTCTGAAAAAATTATGAAAACATCCCTGCTACCATTACATTTCTAAATACAAAACTTGACTACCATATTGTTGCTTCTGTGTAGCGAGAGAAGTTCATTTTCAAAACAGATAAAATTCAGTCTTTAGGTGTGAATGGTATGAATGACAGTCTTTTTTTTTTGTTTTGTTTTGTTTTTTTTTTTCAATTTCTTAGTTGTTTTAGGATCCTTAAGCATGCAAGCCTCGGAGAGGAAGGCCCGACCAGGGCAGGGTTGGCTTTATGACATCCAGTTTAGGACAGAGCTGGGAAAGCCTCYGGGTCATCTACGTCAGGAGCAGAAGCACTTGACTGCAAGAAAAACATCACAGAGTTATTATTGCCTTGAGGCAAAGGTGGCAGCACTTTGGGGCTGGAGAAATTACTACAAAAACAGCTCTTTTGAAATTTATTCCAAGGATTAGAGAATGTCCTGTAAGATTTTTGGAATCCAAGCTAACTGGAGAGGAAGTGCAGGCAAACAAATAATGTGTTTGCATATTATTATTGCACAATTCTGTTTATAAAGAGATCTCAGAATGGTCTGGGTTGGAAGGGACCTTCAAGGCCATGGATTTCCAACCTTGGGCAGATCCTTCCCTGTGGACCATCAATCCTTCCAGGACAAAACTGAAATGGYACAGAAGAGGCCCTGTCTGTAGCACAAATTAGGTTTTCACATTTAATTTTTCCTTCTCAGAAAACAGATGTTGATGAAAAATAATTTTTGTGCCAACTTAGCCCTAAGAATCCATAGATTGGCCAAGAATCTCCTCAGTACTYCCCAAAAGATGTTTTCAAAAGGCTCTGCACCACATCTAAAAATCAGAAATTAAGAATTTCAGGATGCTCTTCACTTGGGCCGTGAGGGATGAGGATGAGAAGAGCAAGAAGAGCCAAAAGAATGGACCTTCTTATCATATTAATTTATCAAGAAATATATTAAAAATGAAAGCTGCATCATCACCTAGAGCTGCAGAGTCTCTGCCTTGCCTAAGACTCCACAGGCCACAAACCAAAATTAAAAAATAGGATCAGAGGTTGAATCTCTAGACTCAGCATCGCCAGTTGCTGAGCACACAAGAGCAGGAAGAACCAAAAAAAGGGGGAAGTTTTGGTCCCTGATGRCAGGGAATGCACATGCAGAGCTCACCCACCTGGTTGGGCGTGTGGATCACATCAAACTCCTTGACCAACTGCAAGGAAACAAAGGCAACACAAAATCAGGTGCAGGAAAGCTTGGAATTAYTTTATGGCAGCATTCTTGGACAGAATCAGTGAGACAACTCAGAGCMAACCACCACTGYTTARYTTYAATTTCTTAAAATATTCTTATAYTGCTGTCAGGARAGAGTTCCCCAGCTAATAAATCTARAATTTGTCAAGTCTGAGTCYCCTAAAAGGGACAAAAATGAACAACTCTGAGTGAAGAAAACCACAGCACATAGGCTGAGATCATTTTCTAATCAGTAACAATTTGATTGGATGCCTTTAAGGCAAAGAAGTGATTCATAGCAAATCAAATCTTCACTGCAGCTACATTACAGTACTTAAACTTCACATATTCTCTCTCCAGTCCCATTCATCAGGGTATTTCCCTGGTGCCTTATCCAGAGAAGGGGAAAACATTACAAGAGCTTAGAGAAAAACCACTAAGAGCCCCATTTYCAACTGGAAAATCTGAGTTCCTCAGGTTCCAGACGTGACTGGAGCTGTACAACCCGTCCCTCACCCCTGACAGGTCACAGTGCACMCTGAGTGTCCTGGCTGGGGCTCAAAATAACCAGCCCAGCACTTGTGCTTCTGCTCTGGCACCAGCTGAGCAGCTCACAGTACATTCAGATCTGTCTGTCCACACTGGAAAGTCATTTTTCAGGTTTAGACACAAAGACAGGCACTTTTTTTAAAATCCACCCCCCCTTTTTTGTGTTTGATGACAACGCTGCTCAAACATTCATCCTTTTGTCCTCGTAACAACTTAAACTTGTACAAAAGGATTTTCACTTGGGTTTAAAACATGCTGTTTTTTGTCAGGAATAAGATCCCAGCAGGAAATGAAGTCAATCCCCCCCAGATGAGATTGCTCACCTTGTCAGTYCTGCCTCCACGGCTGGCCCTGCCTCCACGCCCTCGGCCTCCCCGGCCTCCTCTGCCRCCGCGCCCGGGGCGGCCCAGGTCTCCAAAGTTGATCTCCAGCTGGGATGTGATGTCGTTGGCAGGCTTGCGGAAGTGGTGATCCATTACAGAGTCCTCAGCATGAGCCTGTAACGAGGATTTCCTCATCAGTAAGAAAAATATCCCCAAAACACCCCTGTGTGCACTTGGAGCTGGGCTCTGGCCACCGCAGCCTCCGCTCACCTCCATTCACAAAATCCCATCATCAGGTCCCCTCCTTCCATCCAAGGAAACTTGGATTTTCTTGGGAGAGATCAAAGTATTCTGCCTTTCCAAGGTAATTCCTGAGTTCACAGAATCATTCAGGTTGGAAAAGACCTCCAGGACTGAGTCCAAMYTGTGCCCAATCCCCACCACACAGSCAGTCCTTCCTYGGACAGCTCCAGGGATGGGAATTCCAAACCWCYYTGGGCAGCCCCTKCCAATGCCTGCCCACCCTTTCCTTGGAGAAAACATTCCCAAAATTCCACCAGAGCAACACGTCCTTATCCTTGGAGAAAACCTTCCCAAAATTCCATCAGAGCAACACGTCCTTATCCCAGACCAAAGTGACTATTACCAAGCCAGTACAGAATTTCACACTGTAGCAATGATTTTGTGTCCTGGTTCCATCTATTCACTCCATTCTTTTTCCACACTTGGYCACCCATCCCAATTTTCCCTGAGGATTTACACTTTATTTGCTTAGCCGTGGATGAATATTTAAGCCCAGGGAGCTGCTGAGAATCCCAAAGACTTTGCATTCGCTGTAACAGCAAATGAGGCACAAAGAGCTCAAGCACAAGAGACCCTGAAGGAGCTAAACCAGAACCAGTCTCACCAGTGACACTGGAAAATGGGGATCTCAGCACCTTTGCCATGATATTCTCTTACTGCTTTGTTCCCAAGGCAAATTTTGATGGAAAACTGAGCCTGGAGGAGCACAGGATGCTCCCTGCAGTTACAGACACCATCAGTGTCATTATCCAGCACCTTGGAGAATTTTGATTACATGCTGAACCCCACCAGGGTTTTTTTACACAAATATTTTTTTCCATGTGCAAGCCAGTTCTTTGCACTTAGGATAATGTAAAAAAAAAAATGTAAAAACCTGCCTATCACAGCTCAGCCATGGTATTTTGGAAACATGACAATATCCAACATTTTCCTTCCCTCCAAGCCCCACAGCAATCACCATTCCCTGATTTTCCTACACAAATGCCATGTGCAGGCTCAAGCATCCCAACTCCAATTTGCTTTTCTGCTCTAGTTACACAACACTCTGACTTTCAAAGGCAACACATTGTGCAATTAAGCCCTGTACCCTTKAATTACCATCTGTGGAGCCTTCAAAAGCTGCCAAGGGATGGAGAGGTCTGGAGTCAAAGCTGCTGTCAGGGATTCTGTGGGTCCTTCCCCATATATCCCACCCCTCTGGCAATGGGAAGCCATTCCCTGTGTCCTGTCCCTCCATYCCCAATTTTAATTAGAAATAYCCCTTYCAYRYTGCTTYATTTCCAACACATTCCACAGGGATGTAGCCCACATAACAGCTGGTMCCTAGCTCACTCCTGATTTTCATGATTTAACTGCACACCCTTCCCTTGGAAATCTGTTTGCCAAACTTAGGAAGTTTGTCTGAGCAGAGAAAAGTCATTGCACACTTCAGCCTGACATGGCACTACTGAAACCCAACACCAACACTCTGTCAAACATGAAACACCTTAGTGAAGGCTTTAATTCCTTTCTTACTATTTAATTTTTTACCCCCAGTTTTCATCACTGCAGGGTACTGGAATTCTATTTTCAACTAYTGGGAGCCATTTGATGTTCTTTTTTCTGAGTAGTGGGACCAGTGGATTTGTACAATAAATTCTGTGCCTTTCCTTCCCTATTCTGCTTTTATTTCAAAGCAGATTACTACAGTTGAACAAAAATCATTGTTATTTCCACAATTTGACTTTGGTTTAACCACTGAACCAACAAATTGCAAATTCCCTACGTAACCTGATGATTTCTCTATCCAAAGTAACTAAAGCTCATTTAAAGTTCCAACAAAAGACTTGGCATGTTCTCCTCAGCCTCTTCCATCACTTGGGTGATAAGTCAGACATACTGAACAAGTTGCTTATCCTGAATAATCCTTGGAAATGTTAAATTTCTATGTACTGGTGACTTTTAATAGTGCTCTGACTTAATAAATGATCTCTTCTTGAAGGCAATGCTGCATTAAGGATCTTGGGGAAGACTGTCAAAAATTAAGAACAAACTACCAAGAGGGCCAAAGCAGACAGTGAGAGATGGAAAAATGGCACCAACAAAAAAAAACCACACTCATGAGAGAAGCTTTTATGAAAAGGTTTGAAATCAGCAGGATGAGAAGCAAGGGGACTAAAATCATGATGGGTGCTGGATGGTGCACAATGAGAGACAACAGGCATGGACAGAAGAGCTCCATATTCAATYAAATCCTCTATTTTGGTGAGTTTTTGTTCTCCAAACCTTCCCTGTGAAGGGGCTCATGCTAACACACAGGTATCACCAGTTAGAGAGAAAGGATCAGTACCTCATTTGAATCCAGCAGACTCCCCTGCATTTCTGTCATCGCCTTTGTCTGGTGACAGTTGTGTGTCCACGCCAAAGTGACAAAAGGAACAAAGGGAGAAAACAAAAGGAAGAAATGAGACTCAACTACATACAGGAACAACAGGTAATCAGGTCACATGAAYGGCTGGGTACAGATGGCACTGAGCACATGGAGCAGCAGAAGGATGAAGGAGCAGCTGTGCAAGCGTCCAGAGAGATCACAGCATGGATGTGCCAAGTGAGGAGACAAGAGAAAGCTCAGATGGACATCAAAAAGCTCAGATGGACACCAAAAAGCTCAGGTGGGGACACCAAAAAAGCTCAGATGGGGACACCAAAAAAGCTCCGATGGGGACACCAAAAAAGCTCCGATGGGGACACCAAAAAAGCTCCGATGGGGACACCCAAAAAGCTCCGATGGGGACACCCAAAAAGCTCAGATGGGGACACCCAAAAAGCTCAGATGGGGACACCCAAAAAGCTCAGATGGGGACACCCAAAAAGCTCAGAT